TTTGTCTGAAAGTGGAGATTATGTGTTTCCCATCTGAGAAATCTCCTGTGAGGGTGCACTACACTGGGAAGATACTCAACATTTGCCTCAAACCGGAAGCTGAGAAATAATATCTTAAAGTAATTTTTTGAGGGAAGTACTCTATTGTAAGCATATCAGATATTCTCTTCAAGATCTGCCTTGCCTATTGACATCTTTGAAAGGATCTTTAGCTCACTTCACAAACTGTCCCTCTGCCTCCAATGTGAAGCCACAATTAAGAAAATCTGAAGAAATTCTTGGTACATAAGACTTAGAAAGTCTAAATTCAACCCCATTTACACACCTCACAGCAAAATAGTAGTGTCCATTTTGGTAAACCAAGGAAGGAAGGACAACAGGCATGCCTTTGGAAATCTCAAGGAGAAAGATTTTTATTTGTTGCAGCTTAACTAGATCAAATCTGAAGAGGAGAATAAGGTGTTTTTATAAAGATTGTGCTATGTATTTTAGATGTAACATGTTAGTTATCCAAATAAAATAAAAACATTATCTAAATAAAAGCAAAGATGACCTCTTGACTCCCAACAACTCTCAAAATGAGATAGCAGATGGATTAAATCATCTGAAGCCACTAGCATGATACAAGTTTATAAAATCCTATATTATTATTATGGACATATTTATTATATTAAACTGTGTTTTATTTGCCAATTTTATTAAAATACTTATTAATACATTTAATTATATATTTTATCAATTATTATGTAATAATAGAGAAGATCTCCTTTGCTTTCTCCTGGCACATAACTAGCTGTTACATGTTTTTCTCCAAAATTTTGGACTGTTGTCTGTGAAGAATGTGCTGATTATAGTTAATCTACATCTGAATAGCTTCCTAGAGCCCCTTCTGCCCTTGCCTCTGATAAGTCTATGTTAACAAAAAACAAAACACAAGAACAATGCAAAGGGAGCTAGAGATTTTCTCTTCATAGTGTGAAGTACCAGAATGAAATCCAGGTGAAATGTATTCCTGGCTTTATCTTTGAACAACTTCAGTAAAGTGTACTTCAAGCTCGTGTCAGGTCCAATTAGTTTTTAATGAATCAATAATGAGTTTGCATTCTGCAATTCATAATGAAATTACCTTCTGCAACTCAAAAGTTGACTAATTTTCTTCCTAGGTTGCCTGTTTGATTTTCTCTCTGATTTTAGACAGTCCTAATTCCCTGAATCATGGATATCACCTGTTTGAATGGGATAGAGTCAGTGATGTTCTGCTTGAAAAGTGGAAAGGCACAGACATATAAACCGTTGAATGAATGAATCAGCCCGAATATTACATTTAAGAACTGATAATTACTCTATTTTAGATCATTAATAGCAGTGAGAAACACCTGCCTATGCAAATACATCTTCATTTGATTATTTTCTTTTCTCTTACTGACTGGAATTGCCCTTTTGCAGTGTAGCAGAATAAACACATTATCTAGCGATGGTGGAGAGTGGCAGATAAACCATATTGAATCTCTTCATAATAGCAACATTTCTGTGTAAAATTTTTAAAAGTCTTCTTAATGCACTCTGAAGAAGCACTCTGTAGCCACCACAACAAAAGGGAACAGACATATTCTCAGCAGGGGTAGGAGAGTAGACAGAGGATTATCCCAAATCTATCTGAAACATGATTACAAATATTTATTTTTATTGAATTGAAAGTGAATGCACAGTTTTAAGTTTGAAAAAACATTAAGAAAAAAAAGACAAAACAAGGGAGTATACAAATGATAAGCAGGAGTAGATCATAAGACTTGTCTAATATTTATATACACACACATATATACATAAATCTATATCTAAATCTATATTTGTATAACCTGTATCATTTTTATCATCTATATCTATACAAGTAAAAAATCTAGAGGAGAAAAAGCAGATGGAAGAGCATGTCAAAATATATCATACTGAAAAAAAGCATGGGGAAGATGTTGTTTCATCAAAGAAAGAGTAAAGCACGTCAGATAAAACCTGCTTTTAGTTACATCAGTATGAATCCTGGCACATGTCAGTAGTGTTGCATTGGAGTTATGTTCTTGCAATTCTTGATGGAGGTTAGTCCCTTAAGTCCTAATTGAGGGTATATTAAAAGTTAATCTGAAACTTTAGAGTGGCTGTAAAACACAGGCAGTTTAAATTTTAATTTGTGAAAGAAAACAAAAGAACCTATTCTCTTTTGGAAGATATGTGAGTTGGTATGCTGCAGATAAGAAAAATAAAAAATCAGGTAAGAATATGATTTCCCTAAAATATTGGGGAATCTGGGTTCAAGGAGTCAATGAAATTAAAAGAAAATGATACAATTTGGCACTAGAGTAAAAAGTGAAATTATACCAATTTATCTTATGAAAAGCAAGAAAGGGAGGGTAAATGAAGGCATGAAATGTCATGAACAAGAGTTCTGAGTAAAATTCTTTCACTTTTTTTTTTTTCCTTAGGCTAAAAATAAAGAGCGAAATAAACACATTAAAATATTCGTAGTTCTCTTCAAAGGAAGAAAATAATCCCCATTTCAGAGATAAGGTAACTGAAGGGGTGCAAAGCCCAACTTAAGGATGTAGGCATGCCTTGGGATGTCTACCATCCAAAATTTGATTCTTCATCCTGCCAATACTGAAGTTCTTGCAGCCTGCCAAGAAGCAACCCAAGCCTCATAGGGCTGAACACAACAAAGCCTTGCTGGAATTAGAAATGAGGCTCTCTAGGCCTTTGGCCTCAACCAAAGGGCTTCATCCCTCAGGCTTTGTTCAGATGAAATTAATGTATCAAACTATTCT